CCCCCCCCCCCGCGGGGGCTTGGCGGGGGGGGTTTCACAAAAGGCTTCGGGGTTTGGGGGAGGCTCTTGGTCCGGGGTCAGCGTTGTGGGTTTGGGGGAAGGAACCCCCCAAGCCAAGGCTCGATGGCGGACGAGCGGTAGTGCGAAAGGCGAAGGGACGACCGCAGACTTCAGACACCCAAAAAAAACGCGGTTTCACACTGGGGGGGGGGGGGACAGTCCCGTGATTGGCATTGCGCGCCGCGTGCGCCTGTTCTTCGGAAACGTGGACACGTGCGCTCGCGTTTTGTGAGAAGACGAAAAAAGAAACACAGCACGGCGACCTCCGACGCGGGGCGGACCGGGAGCCCGAGATTGTCCGTATCCATGTCCATGTGACGCGGGTCGCGGCGCGTCGCCTCTCGTCACAGTCTCAACACGCGATCTCGACCCGGGGTGTGTTGAGCCAGCGATCAGCACCACAAGCCACCACAAGCCACACCCCGACTACACTGTGACCAACATGTTGAGCCTCGCAGCACACTGGACCAGCGGCGCACGCGGCGCAGTGGAGAGGTGCGTGCGAGGCTGGTGCGCTGCCCGCGCGTATCCAAAAGAGCCATTTGCCTAATGGCCCTCCTGCAAACCCGGCGCTCCACCGGTCGCAGCGCGCCAGCCTCGCCCGCCACGCCATGCCAGCAGCCGGGCGCGCGCGGGAGAGGTGCAGAGCTGGCGCGTGGCAGGTCATGGTCGCCGAGATCTATGTGAGCAATGACGCCCGGTTCGATGGAGGTGCACCCAATCAGCGCACCCTCGCGATCCTCCACGGCAAACCTGACCGCATCGAGGGAAGAGCCCGCGCCGCTCGTCGCCACCTCGACGGCGATCGACCGAGCGTGCGGCAATCTGACGAAGATTTGCATGGCAGACCAAGGCAAGCCCGCGCGTAACGTCAGTCGCTCAAATCAATAGTTTCTTTTCTATCCTTATTTATAGGCACAAATCCGCCTGTAGACACCTCTGAAGTCTGTGGTGCACTGGCACTAGCCATACTTACGCAGGGGATGCGTGCCGCTACAACTGTAGCCACTGTAGCCAGGAGCTTCCCAGCCTCCGGCGTCCACCGGGAGCCTCCCGGACCATTGACGAGATTTCTCCCTCTTAAGCGATTCCTGAACTCTTTGAAGTTCGAGCTCCAAAAAAGAAAAACTGCTCGGACGCCAAAGTCCCAGCCAGGTGCACAGCCGATCTCGTGCACAGCCGATCTCCGCCGACAAAGCCGGCTGCCGACCGTCCATGCGGCTGCCGCAGCTCTCTACTCATGGCGCTCACGCTCTGCAGAGCGCGCTAATCGCCGCGGCGCT